CTTTTTACGAATCAAACATTCCTTGAATTTGTCTGCTCTACTTGTTGAGGATCTAACATAACGAACAACACCTCGAATTCTAGCAATAGACTCATGTATCTCAGCCAAACCATCTCTAACAATCAATCCCAAAATATGAGCTCCGCACCTCATATGCAAGAAACCTCCATCAAGTATGCATGTTCCACATTTTTTAAACTGTTTCTGCAAGTATTTGATTCCCACATCATTTGAACTTGCATTGTCAACGGTGACTGTCAAAACTCTTTCAATTCCCCATTGAACTAAATATTGTTCGACAAACTTTCCTATGGTTTCACTCGTATGATTGGAGATTGGACAAAAATTTATGATCTTTTTTCTCAACTTCCAATCATCATCAATATAATGAGCAGTCAAACTCATATAATTGATGTTCTCAACGGATGTCCATGTATCCGTCGTTAGAGAAACACCCGCTTTGAATTCCTTGAAGAACTTATGCAATTTCATCCTCTCTTCAAGAAATAAATTCATGCAGTCTCTCAAAATAGTTCTACGTGTCGGAATAATAAAACGGGGTTAGACAATCCTCATAAATAAGATGAATCTCTCATTTTCAATAAACCTAAACGGTAACTCATCTATAATGATCATCATCACTAAGGCTCTTCGGGATTCCTCTTGATCAAATGTCATAAAAGATGGAATTCCTATTGTAGAATCATTTTTTGGCTCGTGAAACAATGTTGTTTGTTTCAGCCTCTTATTAGCTCTTAGATCTTCTCTATCATCATCATGAGGAGCCTTTTTACATATCCTCAGATGTTTTAGCAATGCACTAGTTGATGTACCGCCTACTGTCATGCAACTAATCTATGTTTGACAATAATTGCAAACTGTTCTTTTGCCATCTGGATTTCTTTTGTAATGATTCCATGCATCAGACTTAGTTTTAGGTACCTTAATGTCACCCGAAGGTTCAGGTTCAGTTGCTTCAGGAACCATAGAAGCATCAATGGCATTTGGTTGAAACATCATAATGTTTTCTTCTGTATTTTCTGTATTTGAGTTATCTGCCATAAAAGACATATCTGCAAAACAAACAATTAAATTCATTAGTAAAAAACGAGGGAGAACTCGGTTGAATAGATCAACAGAGAGCTCGATGGAGACTCTGAGGATCACAAGGCCAATTCGGTCGAAAATATATCAACTTACCGTGATGTCGATGAACAGAGAACAAACAACAGAGAGCTTCCAACTAATTCGGTCGAAAATCTATCAAGACACAGACCTGTAAATATAATGGATAACAAGGCCAAAATCATTCCAAAGCAAAGCACGAAATGATGCATATGAACGAAAGAGATATTGAACAGAGGCGGCGAAGACAACTCAGGCGACGAGGGAGAATCTCTTACCAAGAAAGAGGCGGCGAAGACAGAGGCGGAGCAAGGCAGAGACAATGGAGACAGAGACAGGAGAACCGAGGGAGAAAAAGAGAACGGAGGCGGCCGAGAAAAGGAGGCTGAACAGAGCCGGAGGCGACGAAGACAGAGGCGGAGCAAAGCAGAGACGATGGAGACGGGGGAAGCCGAACCGAGGGAGAGAAAGAGAGTGATGGAGACGGACGAGCAGAGAACGACGACGATGGAGCTCAGAGCCTCAGGCGACGAGAGTGATGGAGGCGGATGAACAGAGAACACGACGACGATGGAGCTCAGAGCCTCAGGCGATAGGCGACGATGGAGCTCAGAGCCTCAGGCGATAGGCGACAGGCGATGACGGACGGATCGGAAAGTGTGAGAGCTTGAGAGATGAGATTGAGAGAGTGATGGAGGCTGTAATCGAAAGAGAGACTGAGAGTGAGAGTGAGAGATGCGCCGAAAATGTGAGAGACGGAGAGAGTTGCGATAAGGGTTAGGGACTTAAGGTTACTCGGTTAGGGTTAGGTTTAGGAATAGGTATTTATGTAAATATATTAAAAATAAGGGATATTTTTGTAATTTTACACTTTTCCAGGTACCCGTGAGATAACCCGGGAAGATATATTGAAACTCGAACTCGTAACCTGAAGCTCGGGTTTGTTGAGATAAAAACCCGGCTTGTAACTCGTTAACTCATGAGACAATACAAACCGGGTACCCATGAGTTAGGGTACCCGGAAACCCGCGGATCTCGGGTAAAAATGCCCACCCCTACCGGTTGACAAATTGAGTCAGTACTATCGTACATCAATGATGCATAAACCAACCCTAAGACGGTGGTCATAGGGTATAATCGGAATTAATAATTAAATTGGACTAATGTGTTAATTGATTAAATATAAAATAAAAATTCTTGTATAGAAATATTAGTTGGCATCGTTTTCCATGAGAATGGAATCTACGGATTCAACCCGAACTATTCACTAAGCTTTATGTTTAGCCCTCCGTTGTTGAATCTTTTTCAGATCTCGAGGAGCACGACTAGCAGCATGATCGACGACTACTAAGGCTGCCCTATATGTACGGTTAAACTATGGTTTGGATTCGGGATAGTGATCCCATCATTATGTTGTTTTAATTTCGGTTTCAGACATGTAATATTTCTGAACGTTTGCAAAAATTATATTTTTCGCTGCGTGTATTAAACATTAAAAATGTTTTAAAAATCATGTGATTTGTGTTATATATAATTGTGGTATTTTTTGTCCATGTGTCGCATCCTGATTACGAGATCTGAGATTCGGGCGTCACATGCTCGCTTGACAATCCGTGATCTATAGGTGGGAATGAAATGTTAGAATCCACGACTCTATATTCTAAGATGAGGACACTATCTTCCACACATATGACACTACCCTTCGACAGTTGGCGGTATCTTTCCGGAACGAAAAACCGGACTTCGCATCAACAATACTACAAAGATGGTTTGGATAATTATTGTATTGGTTTTGTTTTGGGTCATTTTTACTATTTTGAGACTAAATAGGAAATTTTTATTAACCACTAGATCAGAAAGACATCGGTCGCAGAGTCTCTTTTAGTTATTTTGGCATCTCACCTCATCTGTGTAGGTTAAAAAAAAAAGCATTTTGTACAAATTCGAAGGTAATGGAAACACCAACCTTTGACAAAAAATAAAATAATCGTAACTTATATTAAAACGCATGCATGCACGTGGCAAGATTGAATCCTACGTAGATGAAACGTATATATTTACGTGGCTATATTATATAGGTCTTTGGTTTTTGTAACATTGAAAAAGCATTCCATGACCAAAAAACATTGAAAAGTATCATCATCATTAACCTAAAAGCTACGGCATGTTATAAACTAGAATTGTTTGACAAATTTACCTCATTAGAAGTTACATCGAAAACATGGCTCTTCTTGGACTAAAAAGAACATTGGAACAACATTTCTTTTTTATTTACTTATATATTTTCGAATTAAATGAAGAAAACAGAATGTAGAGTAAAGAAAAAGACCATTTTTTACCTTAAAAATTGATAACACGTATTTTGGGTGACGTTTTGATATGAGCGAATTCGTGAAGCCCGTCGAAACTGCTCAAGAGACACAAAACGATCGTTTCTGGATGGACGAAACGATCGGTTCGGAATCGCAGAAATTGGAAAATTGCTCAGAAAGTGCAACTGATCGGTTTGCCTTTGCCGAAATGATTGGTTCGACCCCCAGATTCGGGAAAACTTTCAATTTTGCCCAAACCGAAGGGAAATAAGAGGGGAAAACCTCTAGGTCGAAATTCAATTCAAACTTTACACAGAGAATACACCAAGAGCACAAGAAAAGAGAGAGATTTTCAGGAAGCAAGAGATCGGAGTAGAAGAGGAGATCACGAAGCCGAGAAATCGACTAAGCGTTCCTCTTTCCTTCTATTTTACGATGTTTTGTTGTATTGATATGAACCCTGACGTCTCGATGTTTAGCGAGTAGTTCCTTTGCTGAAGGTTAGGGATTTGCTATGTAGGGATCTTTGGTTCATAATTCCAGACTTTGTGGTTTTATTTATTCTATTCGGTTTATTGAGTTGCGTTTAATGCGTTTGATCTTGTTGGCCACTTGATTGAATGAACTTAGGGTTTTAATTCGCATAGACATATGAGATTTTAACCTGGAAATAACTCAATAAATAGAACAGGTATTGCATTGAGAGATGAATATTTGCCTAGAGATTATGATGACGTTCGTTCATGCATCCAGGGTTTTAGACTATTGAATCGAGAGATTAGTATGATAAAGCCTGGATAGTGAGGTTAGACTCGAGAGGGTTAATCTCTACTTTAGAGCTTGAATTCCCTAAATCGGATAGATAAACCACTGAGTTTGCATCTTTTGAAAGACCCTTGCATGTAAAGCAATCCCGAAGCCTACAGTGTTTTGCCATTGATAGTTTATCGTTTGTTTTTATTATTTGCTTTTGATACATTCTCATCATTCTCATATTTTCTCTAGATCTAGATTTGGATTGAAATCTGATTCAGTTTTTACTTGTCCCTGTGTTCGACCCTAGTTGCTACACATGATCCGTACACTTGCGGTTAATTATTGCGTTTAGGATATTATTATTTGATCAAATTTATACAGATTTGCGACATCAAAAATGCATTAAAAAGAAAAATAAAAGTCAACATAATTTTTCAAAGTCTTGGTGTATATATAAAAGATTTGTAGAACGGACTTTGTTTTGCGAAATTCTCAAACTTTTGTTCATCCAGTGAGGAATAGAGATTCGGCGAGCATCCAATCAAAATGTTAGGCGATAATAAAGAATTAATTCGTAGAATAAAAAAAATACATACATTGATAATTATCAAGTCACGAGTTTATGTTTCATATGATTCATATATGTTATACGTTGATGTGTCAACAATACCAAATCCAAATGTGATGAGGAGCAAGAAATCTTTGGATGTGAACACTTCGTGTTCAATTTGGTGTTACACAAACCTAAAATCAGGTGATTTTATCATCTGAGAGATGAATTTAATGGAAGGGACGATAAAATTCATTATTAAAAGAACAAAATCAGACAATATAGTTATTTTATGACAATCGCAGAAATAAACCTAAAAAAGTATCATATAAACACATAAAATTTGGAATGTTAACCCAACCTGGGTAGTTCAACCGGTGAAACGGATGCGCAAAACGTCTGTCGGAACAGATTCACAGACTGTAACACCTAGAGGGGACATGTGGCCTAGAGAGGCAAGGTAATCAGCACAAGTGTTGGCTTCACGGAAGACGTGGGAAATAGTTATCTCCCATGGTTTCGCGAGAAGTTCTTGAATTGACTGAATAATTAACCCATCTACTGTATTCCTCTGATCTTTGTCGTGGATTGCTTCGACAAGAGCTTGATTGTCAACCTCCATCATCACTCTTTTCCATCCATTGTCCCATGCCATCCGTAGCCCGATGAGAACCCCCCAAGCTTCCGCTCTGAAGACCGAGCAAATGCCAAGATTAGAGGTGAACCCAATAATCCAGATGCCCCAATGATCCCTGAAGAGACCACATGTTGCTGCTGAACTCGGATTGCCTCTAAGCTGCCATCTGTGTTCAACTTTACCATGTTAGAAGGAGGAGGATACCAAGCAATATCTAGTACTAACCTGGGTTTTTTGGAGACGGTAGGGTAGCCACGTTGTCCCTCATCTGAATTTCTCGTGCATAAGCGAGAGATTGCTGGACCGAATTAGCCGGTGCTACTCTGTTTTGGAAAATTGCCTCGTTCCGCCATTTCCATAGGAACTAACATGTAACCCCAAAGATAATTGTCCAAGGGAGAGATGACAAGACATAGGTACATCGCAAATTGCTTTCAAACCAATCTAGTATTCCGACTTGAAAAAACCCCGATTGGATCATTTTCACACCTAGATCGTTCCAGAGCACTTTGGCTACAGAGCAATCTCTTAGTACGTGTAGAACTGATTCATCTGAAGGACACCCCAACGGGCATTGGCCGGAGGAAGATAGGTTTCGTTTGAAACGTGCCATATTCGTTAACAACCTGTTATTGCAGGCCAACCACAGAAAAGTTCGAATTCTCTCAGGGTCCCCCCATTTCCAAATTACTGACCAGATTGTGTGAGAAGATGTGATGTTATCCGGCAGAAGTGAGTTGTAAGCACTTTTGACGGTGCATTTGCCATCTCTTGAAGAACACCAATAAAGACGATCTGATTCTGCTGATTGTCTTGGGGGAAGTAAGCTGGCTATTCTTAAGCAAGTAGAATTGGGTAATAGCGATGCAAATTTATCCCATTTCCACTTCCCATCAGCATTTGCAAATTCTGCCACCATGACAGGATTAATTGATGGACGGTCTTCTTCTGACAAGTACTCGATTAGTGGCTTATCATCTTCAACCCAATTATCTCTCCAAAAATCTGTATTTCTACCGTTTCGTATAAGTGTGGCACACCCCCCTCTTGTTAAGTACCAAACCGATTTAATCCCCCTCCAAATGATGGAGCCGTCGTGACCTGGAAGGTGAGAGCCAGATCTATATGAAGGTGGGATGTATTTGTCTCGCAGAAGGCGTACCCATAGACTGTCTTGCTTTGTAATAAATTGGAAGGCCAACTTCATCAAGAAAGCCTTGTTAAATCTTTGAATGGGTCGAATTCCAAGACCACCCAAATTTTTCAGAGAGCTAACCAAATCCCAGTTTGCCAAGGATAGCTTCCTCCTCGTTTCTGTTGAGCCCCAAATGAATCGACGCATTATGCGGTCCAATTCCAAACAAACCGATGAAGGAAGCTTGATGGTTTGCATTACAAAGGCGGGAATCGTGTTAAGAATCGACTTTGTGAGCGTAATTCTCCCAGCAAGAGATAAAAGTTTACTCTGCCATCCACTGAGGTGTCGTGAGACTCTTTCAATGAGAAAGTCGAATTTATTTCTCGAACTCTTAGCATGGAGGATTGGAACTCCCAAATAATTCTCCAAATCGGTCGTTACTGAGAAGCCTGCCAGATCAGCAAGTTGCATCCTTATATCATGTCTAACATTAGCTGAGAAGTACAATTGTGTCTTGTTTAAGTTAACCTTTTCCCCCGAGGCTTCACAAAACCTATGCAAGGTGCTCTGAACCACTTCCATTTGAGAAGTTGTTGCCTCCGTAAAAAGAATGAGATCGTCTGCAAAAAATAGGAGTATCTCTTTTCACTCGGAATCCTTCCCACCTCCCCTGATTGACTTCTTGTTTAATAGTTTGGGCAAGCCTTTCCATGCATAATACAAAGATATAGGGGGATAGTGGACAACCTTTTCTAATGCCTCTAGACGGTTTAAAGCTCCTAGACTGTGATCAATTCCATAACACTTTCATGTTGGCTGAGCAAACACATTGCATTATTATGGTAATAAGCTTATGGGGAATACCAAACAGCAGTAAGAGAGTCCTCCACAAAACTCCATCTGATTCTATCATAAGCTTTCTCCAAGTCCACTTTAATTGTCATAAAACCTCTCTTGCTTTTTAGTCTATCCATAGAGTGGATGATCTCTTGAACCATAATGATATTATCCGTGATTTGTCTCCCTGGAACAAAACTATTTTGTTCCGGACCAATAATATGAGGTAATATGGGCTTGATACGGTTGGCGATTAGTTTGGTGAGAACCTTGTAGACAACGTTGCACAAGCTTATTGGCCGAAACTGAGTGATAGATTCTGGGTTGTGCACCTTTGGAATAAGCACCAGCAAGGTATTGTTGCAGGATTGATCCAGCTGATGTCCATTAAAGATTCTAATAATATAAGAGTGGAGGTCTTTACCAACTATCTGCCATTTGTTGGAGTTGCTTGTTGTTTCAAGGTCATGATTAATGCAGAAGATGAAAAGCTGATTCTCAGCAAGTGTGTTTCGAGACTGTCATTGACAGTTACTTATGTTTAAATTTGAAATCTCAGTTACTATCAGTTTATTGTCTTTATCATGTAATAACTAAGTTTAGCAGTTACGTTTGTGTGTATTTAAGGATGTATTGCTGTAAAAATTATTATGTGTGTGAATAAAGCTTCAGATTTACATACATCGTTAGAGTGTTTTCCATTTATCAATTCTTACATATTCAAAGCAGAGAGTGCACATAAAGAAATGAGAATGCATTTGATAATAGACTTTACCGATTGCGGTTCACAAGATGGATCAGACAGAAAATTTGACAACTTCAAATCCTGTGCAGAATGCTCCGATCTTCAACGGCGAGGCTTACCAGATCTGGGCAGTGAGAATGCGTGTGTTCCTCGAAGGTGCTGATCTTTGGGAAGCGGTGGAAGAAGAGTATGAAATCCCTGCTTTGCCAGCGAATCCGACTGTCAACCAATTGAGGAACAATAGAGAGAGGGTCACGAAAAAGTCCAAGGCGAAGTCCTGTATCTTTGCTGCGGTCACACCATCAATTCTGATCAAGATTATGAATCTCGTATCTGCTAAGGCGATGTGGGATTTTCTCAAAACCGAGTATGAAGGAGATGAAAAGATAAGAGATATGAAAGTTTTAAACTTGTGGCGAGAGTTTAAAAGGCAAATGATGAAAGGAGATGAGTCGGTGAAAGATTATGTTAACAGACTTGTTAACATAATCGACAATATCAGGATTCTGGGAACTAAGGTTGATGATGACAAGATAGTACAGAAGATTTTGGTTTCTGTTCCCGAAAAGTTCGAAGCTACCGTTGCATCTCTGGAGAATACAAAACAATTATCGCAGATCAAACTTACAGAAGTTATAAGCGCTCTTCAAGCACAAGAGCAAAGGAGGCTAATGCGAAAAGGAGAAAATGTTGAAGGAGCCTTAAAAGCTACGGTTTTTCAGAAGACAAAGAACGGTAACAATTCCGGTAAATCAGGAAATTCAACAACAGAAGGCGGTGGGAGCGAGGGTTTTTCGGATCCTTGCAAACACTGTAATAAGAAGGGTCATCTATATTGGCGATGTTGGAAAAGACCTGATGTTAAATGCAGGAAATGTGGTAGAATGGGACATGTTGAGAGAATTTGCAGGGAAAAAAACGTTGAAGATGTTGAAGCACAAAAGGCTGAAGCAAATGAAGTGGAAGAACTTTTTAAAAATAAAAAAGTTCCAAGTGATGATTGATCGATATTGTGAACGACCTTGAACCAAGGGGGAATGTTGGAGTTGCTTGTTGTTTCAAGGTCATGATTAATGCAGAAGATGAAAAGCTGATTCTCAGCAAGTGTGTTTCGAGACTGTCATTGACAGTTACTTATGTTTAAATTTGAAATGTCAGTTACTATCAGTTTATTGTCTTTATCATATAATAACTAAGTTTAGCAGTTACGTTTGTGTGTATTTAAGGATGTATTGCTGTAAAAATTATTATGTGTGAATAAAGCTTCAGATTTACATATATCGTTAGAGTGTTTTCCATTTATCAATTCTTACATATTCAAAGCAGAGAGAGATTTGTCTGAGAGGAATTTGTGAGGTTGAGAGAAATAACACCATTGATTCTGGAAGAAGAGAGGACTTAAGCCGTCGGGACCTGGACCTGTGAAAGGTTTCATTGAGAAAAGGGCTTCATGCACTTCACTTAGGGAAGGCAGGTGAGCCAAAGAAGACAAGCAGATTGGATCCAGGGGCGGAAACAGACTAGTAGTACAGCGTTGAACATCGTTGTCTTCTTCAGTGTATAACTGGGTAAAATAGTTTACCACATGGTCTTGTAATTCCCCGTGACTGAGCCAACTTCCATTCTGATCCTTTAGGCTGGAAATAACATTCCTTCTTTGTCTAATGGTAGCTTTAGCGTGGAAAAACTTTGTATTACGATCCCCATTGTTGATCCATTCAGTCCTAGCTCTCTGAAACCAATAAACTTCCTCCTGGTGTAGGACGAGTTCAAATTCCTCTTTCAATTGGGTTTCAAGGTTGAGGAGGAAGCTATTAGACAAAGCTTTTTCGATTCCTTTTATGCGAGCCATGAGTCGACGCTTTCTTCTATGAATATTGCCAAACAGCAGCCTGGTTTGAAAATTCGGCTATCGTGGCGGCTATATCAGATGATCCTTTCCAATTATTGGCCACAAAATTTGTGATGCTTGGAATTTAAAATGTCTGGGAGAAGTCGGCCGACTAGAAGGCATAATAGTGAAGAGCATTGGACAACGATCCGACTTGATTCTGGCCAGGTGGCTGATTCTATACTGAGGAAAAGTCGAAACTCCCGCAAGGTTACCCAACACTCTATCCAGGCGTTCCTCGACATTACCCCTTTTCCAGGTGAATTGTGGTCCGGAGAAACCCAAATCTAACAGATGACAGTCCTCTATCCAATTCCTGAAACCATGGGACTGTGTTTTGTCTTGCTAAAATATTTAAATTTCGCCATAAGCACTCCCGATCTTTCTGTCGTGGGCTGGCGTAAATAGCTGTGAAATCAAAAGCAGGATTATCTAGAAACTTAATATTGCAATGTAAAAATTGAAAATGTTGAACCTGGATTTTTGAGCTTTTGGCAGTGTGTGACTGGGGTTTTGACTTCTCCGATACTTTCTGATTCTCTGGTTCTCGTCTGGGTCTACGAATGGGTTTCATGGCATGCATCCACGGACCCAGGTCAGATAAGGTGTTAGGAATGCCTTCACTATTCGGAATTGTCGGCAAGCCTTCCTCTGGATTTGACAGGTGAGAATGAGGCGTTGTATCCTGTTTGTTCTGTTTCTTGGGTGGATAAAGGACATTTTTCTCCAAGGTGCCCAATTCTACCACATGAGAAACAAATAGTCGGGAGATTCTCATACTCCACCATTTGGGTCAGACCTTCAATTTCAAACCAAGAGATGAGAGGGCTCTCGCCAAATCCAATTCCACTGCCACTCTAGCAAAGCGTCCGCGTAAAGCTGAGACTGTATTAAGGTCAACCCTAATCACCCTCCCGATATTGCTGGCTATGCATTCTAGAAGAGCTGTATGATAGTACTGGATTGGCAACGACATGGGAAGGCTCAGCTTGGGAAATCTTGGGAGAGGGAGACACTGAAACTGTGTGCCGTTCTAGAAATCAGGACATCGTCATCTTCAAGAAGAGGGTCATCGAGTTCTCCTGACCCCTGTAAAACTTTATCTCTGAAGGAAGTACCTCCAGCCGCCCATACTCTTGAGGGAGGGTTAGGACATTCCTCATCACGCATTCGGACCTTTTTTGTCTGTCTTGAATCCGACTCGACGCCGATGAGGTTCGTGGGAAGCAAGGAGCTCATAGGGGGCGGCGATCTATATATGGTAATTTTTGAAAGCTCATGTTTTTTTTCAAAAGATTATCCCGTCTTTTTCTTTCTTTTTTTGTTTAAACTCTTGTGCGTGTTCTGCAATGAACTTAATCCAAATAGTAAAGATGTGTTATGCATATATAAGGATAGCAAAGCATCATATGCTATATATGAATCATATGATTTCTTTTCTTGCAACCTAATGACCATGCACATGAAACCTTTATTCTAAAACACAATTACATCGTACACTTTAACGATACAAGAGCATGGACCGACCAGCCTTATACCTTTGAGAACATTGTAGAATTCATCAAGGGACGATCTTGTGATCTTTGTACTTGCTGATCCAATGAACAAAAGACTTCTTGGAGTTCCTGAAACTCAGGAAGCCAAACTCTTTGCTCTTGTTCATGGAATCCAAGATCCCATCTCCCTTCATACAGTCCAGAAGCCCACCTTCCGCCATTACAGCATCCACAATCTTCCATGACCCGACAATACCGTCGTCCAGTTCGGTCTCCTCCAAGCCGTGTTTCTCCACGATCTCCCTCCACGCGTTTCCTTTGTCTTTCATCATCTCCACGAGACCAAGGTTCTTCCCCTCCTCAAATCCGTACTCTTCTATCCCGAAGCTTTCTGCGAGAATCCCCCAGAGCTGTTTCCACTTGAAGACATCGCCATTGCTGCAGTTGAAAGCTTCGTTCTTGCATGAAGCTTCCATGGCAGCCCAAATCTCTTGCTCGGCGATGAGATCGGCGTCCGACGCAACTGAGTAACACTCCCATGTCGTCTTGCTCAACGGAAAATACATCGGAACGCCCTCGTGCTTGCACACGGCCGCGTAGATGCAGAAGCTGAAGACGATGTTCGCCAAACTGTACGGAGAGAAACCGAACACCACGTTCGGCCGGTGTACGGACCACGAAACTGATTGGTCGGTTTTCTCGAGTTCTTGGCAGAGAACGTCTTCGAGAGCGTAGTAGAAGTTGGGATACGGCAGGCGAGGAAGATCCTCCGAGAACGGAGGCTCATGTGTTCGAATCCTCCCGAGACTCTCGTACGGACCCACGTACTGCTTCGTCCCCGTCTGGAGAACGACGTGTCGGAGCGACGGCGCAACCGCCGTCAGGACGTGGCGGAGCATAGCGGCGTTGGCGTCGCAGCACTCGGCCTCGGTCTCGCGGCTCGCCCACGTGACGTAGAACACGTGGGTCACGTCGGTGAGGCACGAGAGCTTCCGTCTGGTGGTTTCGGCGTCGGAGACATCGCACTGGATGTATTCGATCCGACAGTCGGAATTCCATCTGGGTCGTGGACGGCGAGCGACGCCATAGACCTTCCATGGTCCACCGTTGGTTTCCGGCTTCAGGAGAATCTCCGACAAGCTGTTTCCGACGAGTCCGGTGACGCCGATGATCAGAGCGACGTTCTTGTGATAAATTTGACGGGACATTTTTTTCTTCTGGTTTAGTTTTCAAAGAGCAGTTGGGAAAGTGAAACCTTTTATGAGATAACATAAGAAGATGATGTAAGTAGGAGATGATAAGATTAAGAACAGAGTGCATATACATATATATATATATATATATCATGTTGGGATAAAAAAACAGATGTCTTCGTTTTGATACAGAAAAGATGTGCACTTGTCTGTTTTTTAATGTCCCTGATCCATATCCATTTAGGGGTTGAAGTTTAGATGCATCTAAAATTAATATACTCAACTTGTATATCTACCCCTAATAGCAAAGTATATAAATATTAATAATTTAGCTTTTGTATTTTCTTTTTCTAGGTCTAATGGTTTTGAAGTTGAAATTTAATTTAGATTAATAATAATACAATATGAATATAATTAAATATGTTTTTTTTTGTCAAAGATAAATATGATTATGTTTTGAATATCGATATTATAGTCTTAAATATTAATTAACAACATAAATTTTGGAGTTCATGATTTTTGTAGGTTGATAATTTTATAAATTTTAATTTTTTATTAATAGCGATGGACAATATAAAAGAAATTCAAAAAAAAAATACTTAAGCGAATATATAGTAAGTAGCCTCGAATTTTTTTAATTTTGAAGAGAAAAAAAAGTAGAGAAAATTCATATTGCAATGAATATATGGTGGCTTCTGTTAATTAAAGGAGAGGTTTAAGAGCATAAAAAACTTTAAATTTATTTTCCATAATTAAATATAAGCCTTTTCTTTTTAAGGTTGTAGGTATATCCCAAAAAAAAAAGATAACTAATGCATTTTTATATTTTATATTCTTGGTTTTTTTTCTCTCTCTCTCGTGTTTGTTTTGCCTTGCATGAAAAATGATAGGTCTTTGAAGGCGAATTTTTTATCATTTTTATTCAAGTTACAAGCCAAATCGAAAAAGAAAAATGGTTACAAGAGTCACCAACCATTTTAAATGTAAATCACATTTATGGTGCTTAACCGATCACTGCATTTTCTGCTAAAAAAATCATTTTAATTATATATATATATATATTCATGTACCCAACTCTCAAAACTTAATTATAAATGAGATGATCTAGCTATCTTTCCAAGAGTTCAGACAATGGAATTTCGTTTTTAACTTTTAATTTGTATATTGATATAAAAACTACAGAATATATAAAATCGAAATAAATTTCAATAAATTTAGAAGATCGTAGAAAGATAAATTTAGTTATTTTTTTAGATCATAAAAAATATATATTGTAGTTTACCTTTTTAAGTAAGGTTAGGCCATGCTCAAAACATTAAAATCTGATAACTTATAAGATCGTCCAAGGTCATTTTAATTTGTTTTCATTTTATTGCCATACATTATATTATTCAATTTAAAACCGGCCAATTCATCCAATGAAGCAATCTTTTGTAGCCTTTGAAATCCAATCCAATACGCAAACAACTTCTTAAGAGTTGCTGAAACTCAAGAACCCTAACTCTCTGATAGAATCCCATTCCCATCTCCCTTGGATCAAGACAATAATTCTGGACACTCGTTATCTTATGATCATTTTCAGTCATAGTTTAAAATTCCGTTGCTATTTCATTGCAGAAACCGTTACAAATTTGCAACGAAAATATTTCGTTACAAAACATGTTACGATGTAATTTTGTTTCTATTTCGTTGTAAATTCTAACAACAAAATGAATTTCGTTTCTAATTTTGTTGCAAATTCGTCATTTAATGTTTGAAAGAATGTGATATCATTTGACAAAGTTGGTTCAAGTTTAACTAAATTTAGTTTTTTTTCTTCTAAACCATATATATAAATAACATTTATGGAAATAATAACACGCCCCAGTCTCAATCCCCATACATTAGCATTATTTCAATGACATAGATAGCTCACACATACATCATATATATATATATACAGCTTATATACATACTCATTAATCATCAGTTCAGAAGTAAATTACACCCACACGCTTATTCATTTACATATATATATATATATATATATATACATACACCGTGCTCATGGTGGGTGTGTTGGTGTGTATATATATAGGTGTATGTATATGTGTGAAGTTCTAAGGGCACTTGGGCTTGCCCTTGGAGTCGTTTTTGTGGGAGTAACAAGGGCAGTCGTCCTTGTGGGAGGGGACACAGTGGCATTTCTTGCAGCATATTTTGCAGTGCTTAAGGCATTGGTCCTTCGCCTCTGCCTTGGAACACCTTGCCGTACACTTTCCATGGCACGAGTCTTCATCATTCTTCGCTGAACCCCATCACACGTCATAAAATAGTATAAGCATCTAACTAACATATGGTTTAATTGTAAATGAAATGTTGGTTCTTAAATCTTCCAAAAAATTGCAGAATCCATCATACTATAACTCTTTGGTTCATTGTGCGTTCACTTACCGGTTATGTTTTGAATATCGATATTGAGAATTATGGAGAGCTAGAGTTATCTAATACTTACGCGAACCGGCTGCCGAAAGCTCGAAGAATGAGGAAGTGAGGACGAGAGAGACGAGAAGGAAAGATGCAACGAAGAGCTTCATCTTAACTTAAGAGAGAATTGGAGAATGTTTTGTTTGTCTTATGGTTTTGGTTTTGGACGAGGAGAATGTGTTATGTTTATATAGTCGAGAAAACCCTAAAGTAGGTTAGAGTTTTCTTAACCAATATTCCAAAAATTTAATTTTTGTCGTGAAAAATGTTGCAAACATTTATATTGATGCATCCGTTTCCATGTCTCGAGCAAATAAACCATTGCCGATGGAGACCAGTAGGTTTCAGGAAGGATTTCTTATTATTATTATTATTATTATTATTATTATTATTATTATTATTATTATTATTATTATTATTATTATTATTATTATTATTATTATTATTA